AGTACTGATTGCACGCGGATCGATGTGGTTCAGACTAAACAAGTGAAGATCAGAATCGAGTGTTTAAAGCTATGATGTTCCTCAAGGATCATTCATAGTACTTGCAGCTTTTCCCCAAATTAGTTTTGAGGAATACGCAGGAGGACACGACAAGCGAGATACTATCAGAACTGCTTAGCTCGGAATCCAGGCAAGTACAAACCTTGCTTACAGTTTAATTAAGATAGTCATATAAAGCGTATGATTTTCACGAAATACGTTAATTATGAGATTCGTGAATTAGGTTTATGTTTATGTTAAACGTCATATATAGTTTTTCAATAAAACTTAACGGTTTTCAAATAAGCATGTAAGCGAAAATCGTAAAGAAACGATACGCTAGACGCTTAATTTTACGACGGTAAATATGGACCTCAACGCTATTATGAGCCCGTCAAGTGAGGTAAAGTAAAGTTTATTAAAAGTGTATTATGGATGATAATTTGATTAATTATTAAAACTAATTAATTAAATTATCTAAGACTTAGAATATTGTTAAGGAAGTTAATTAATTACTAAGATTAATTAACTAACTTATGTATACTTAGTATATGAATAAAAGGGTTAATTAATTACCAAAATTAGTTAATTAAATTATTAGACTTATTATAAGGATAAGATAATTAATGAATTATCAATTTAGCACAAATTTGTAATGGCAATTAAGGAAAATAAGATTTTGAGGATTTAATAGATTGATCCTTATAGTAAATTATCCTTCAGTAAATGAAAGGAATACATGCCTTAAGTAAAGGGCTAGATTTCCTTCATAAGCTGCTAAAATAAAATAGCAAACGATAGATAATCTCACACTCTCAATGGGTGTTCATTTTCAGAAGTGAGCAAGTAAAAGAATAGGTTGTTTGGCGAAAAGTGGATTCCAGCTCTGTAAATCAGGTAAGTAGGAATCTCGCCTACAGTATGAATAAATTTTAAAGAAAAAGTTACACATGTTATATATGCATGTTTATGCTTTAAGTATTGTATGCGATGCTATGTCATGATGCATACACATAAGCAGCGCACATGAATTATATGTGTTCGAGTTAATTTAATGTTATGTATACTATGCTAGATCATACTGCATACACTTAAGCAGTGCACATGAAGTATATGTGTTTGAGTACATTCCATGTTATAGTATGCTATGCTATGTCATATTGCATACACCTTAATAAGTCAAGAGGAACTTATAAGAATAATATCAGTTGAGTGCCGTACCAGCCTCCACAAGGGAGGTAACTCAAGCTCCACAAGGGAGAAAAAGAAAATAACAATAATGTCCTCCGACTCAAGGGAGGCATTCAAGTTATAATCACGGTGTCGTGGGGGACCTTGCAAACCCTCACGTTCTGATGATT